TTCCTCTCTTCTTCTTGAAGCCAGAGTGAGGTCCCTCTTGGAGGCCTTTGCGCCTAGAGAAAGTCGTACAATAGAAACATAAAGTGAGCAACATGCATGATTTTAAAATTTCTAGTAGTCAAATTAAACATTTTTAAGTGAAATTAACTTTAATAACACATTTACTTAACCCAGTGTATCTTTGACAGGCAATCCTATTTTATAAATGACTAATGAGGTACCTGAAAAAAATCCCTTTTCATACTAAGTCCTAGAAAATCTTAGTGTGTTTTATACTCACAGGACATCTGAGTTTGGATTTTACCTTTGTATTGGAAATATGGGATCTGGATTTACATTTCACTGAATTTACATTGAAAAGGTGGGTTACAAAGCCAAGTTGTCTCACACATACCTAAATGTTTTCTGGTAACTGGGTGGAGTATCAGTTCTTATATTTATCTTTGTATTAGTTAAAAAATGAGGACGGTTCAGGTCTTCGGCCGCACACAGGAGCCACGTTGCAAGTGCTCAATGCTCCCACGTGACTGGGGGCCACAGAGGACTGACTGCCCTCTTCTGTTTGGGTTCCAGCTCCACTACTCAACTTTGGCTTTCTCCATGGTCCGGTGGCCTGAATTCACCCAGACCCTGCTGTCCTCGGCTTTTTCATGCAGACATTCAAACAACTTCCTCCCGGCACCCCAGCCCATCTCCAGCAGCCTCTGAAGCGGTTTCCCTCCTGTCCTCATCTCAGCCACCCAAGACTCACACACCCATCCGGCTCCCCTGGCCCACTTTTCACTTGGTCCTCATAATCTATGCATAAACATTAACATACCAGAGAGTCAATCTGCATACTGATTACGTCTGTCTGGTAAAATTCACACTTTCAAGATCAGGGGGCTTTCTCCCCACAGTGAACGGGGCCTGAGGAAATCATTATCTTGTCTTCTTGTCACCTCACCCGTGGTTGCTTATCCTATGAGATAAGAGGTGTCTCAGGCGAAGCAGGACAGGGAGGATGCCAGCACGGGGTGGTGGGAAGATTTGGGGAGTGCCTGTTGGGGTACGTGTTTGTGGGAGGAGGACTTTACACATGTGGCTTATGTGTCAGGAGGATTTCATTGGTAAATAAGCACCTAAGGGATGATTTCACATTGCACACTTCTAAGTTTTTATAATTTAAATTCTTTCAACCGGGCTTTTTTTCCCCCCAAGCTCTAGATCTCTGGCTAGAATTGATTTGATTTGCATAATCCTGCCTGTGAGATTTAGCCCCACCCATGAGAGCCCCCTCAGAGCCACACACAGCCAGGACACCTCTGCTGGCCTCCTCTTCCCCAGCCTTCCCACTGGTGGCAGGCCCCTGGCTCTGGCCTCCATATCTGGGAATGAGAGAGCTTCATGGCTGCTGACAGTGGCTGAGATAATCCTCTCCGAGCTGTTCCAAGGATTAGTTCTGCGGCCCTGTGCCCAGCTCCCACACAAGTGGGATTTCAGGGCCAGGAAAGAAAGGGCGCAGCTCCTGTAATGTATAGCAGCCAGGGCAGTGGGCACCCAGCTCCAGGCTCCCTTTTCCACCCTACAGAGGGCAGGCCCCTCAGCTCCATTCTCCTCCAAGGCTACAGGGGGGCAGGAATTGGCGGTGGCAGGAAAGCCGTAAGGTCTCCAGGTGTGTCGTTCTGGGCTCAGAGATGAGTGCTGAAGCTCCCATGCCCTCCCTGTGAAAATGGAGTCCTCTCTCCCCTGGGAGAGCCGGGTGCTGCCCCGAGAAGGATGCATTTATGGCTTCATGAAGTCCTTCTTGACCCCCGATGCTGCTGCCTTTAGGTAAGCCTGATCAAATCTGTGGGAGGCCCATCTGGCATGAGAAAGGGATGGCTTCTTCTAAACCCGTTGGCCAAGATCCCAGGTTCCAACACATTCTGTCTCAAGTCCAGCCTCTTGTGGCACATAGGAGACCCTCCATGAGAGGTAGTATAATATAGAGGACACATGTGCTTATAAAGAGGCTGCCTGTCTGATCTTTGACAAGTTCTTTTTATTTATTTATGTTTTTTTAATAAAGTCTCATTATGTTGCCCAGGCTGGTCTTGAACTCCTGGGTTCAATTGATCCTCCTGCACCAGCCTTCCAAAGTGTTGGTATTATACTCTGGGTTCTCTTCAGATCATATACATCTTTGCCTTTTATCAAAATGTTGGGATTATAGTGTGAGCCAACACGTGTGGTCTATTTTTTATTTAATTGAGGTGAAATTCACATCAATTTGACCATTTTAAATGAGCAATCAATGGCATTTAGTACATTTGCAATTGTGCAAACACTGTCTCTGCGTAGTTCCAAAACATTTTCATCATTAATCTACGGACAGGGGCATCATTGTAAGCACTTCAAATACGTTAACTCACTGAATCTTCACAACAAAGACAGACTCATTTACTGTAAATTTATAGAGTGAAAGCTGGGGCACAGGTTACATGCTTAGGATCACACAGCTATGAAGCAGAATAAGGACTCCGGCCGAGGCAGTCTAGTCCCAGAGGCCTTCCCTTCCTAGTAACCACCGTGCTCTACTGCCTCTCAGAGAACCCAAATAGCACAACAAGAGGGCTGAGCTGTCTGGTCTGTCTGGTGAAGATTCAAATGCTGTTCATTTCAGAGAAGGGGACGTTTCTGGGCTGCAGAGGCTTCCTAGAGAAGGAAGACCATGTAAGGCCTAACTCAGGGCAGGTCAGGATGGTGTGAATGACTAACTCACTCTGAACGCAGTCATCTATGGGTATTTATTAAAACTGGCTCTGGAACTCCCACAGGGAAGGTTCTTAACTTTGCCTACACAGCACAGAGCTCTCTGGATAGAGTTCTAGACCCGGCCTCTTTCAAATATGTTAGAAGCCTCAGCAAGAGGAAATATTTTCTGTCCGGCTGCATTCGTCTATCTGTTTAGAGAGTGGGATATTTCCATCCTCCTTTCTACAGGCATCCTTGGAAGCCCTTCCCAAAAGCAAGACCTCTTGGTGAAATTTACTGCTGGAGAGGAAAGTGGTTTTCAGGAGAGGCGAGTCTGTTCCAGGAACTGTGGCACAAGAGCTAGAGGCTGGGTAGGGAACAACTTAAACTAAGTCCTCAGTCTTGTTTCCAGTTTTCTTCCTGTAGATCAGGGCTCAGGACACCCTGCTGCATGCTCTTTACCCCTCCACCAGGAATTCCTAAAATCCATGCTCATGGATCCTGGGAAATCCAGGATGCTGGGGATGCTGGGGATGCTGGCAAGCCTCAGCAAGACTTCCAGGGACCAACCCTGCAGCCTTCATTCCTCAGGCCCCCTCAGCCCAACTGGCCAGCAAAGGCAGGCGGGGCTTCCGTGTCCACACATGAGAATGACCTGCAGCTATTCTTTGTCTAGGCTGAAGTCAGGGATTCCCACTGCAGCTCCAGGGGCTGAGGGTAAAAGTCTTTGCAATCCAGCTCCTAGGAAATCTTTAAAATTAGGTCTAGGGTGAGCCTGTCAGTGGTAGATTAGGTAGAGAACTTTTATGAAGTGGAGGGTGAACTGGCTGGTGGGGATCTAGAACTGAGGGTGGTGCCTAGCAGTGCATTTGTGAGCAGGCACAGCCAGGCTAGGTACGTGCTGTGCTGTGTGTGTGTATTCACAGGCATCATGGAGCATATATACTTTCCTTTTGTGTTGAACTAAACCTTATAGATTATCAAGTACTTTTTTTCCTGAGACAGGGTCTCTCTCTGTCACTTAGCCTTGAGTGCAGTGGCACAATCATAGCTCACTGTGGCCTCGACCTCCTGAGCTCAAGTGATCCTCCCGCCTCAGCCTCCATGTAACTGGGACTACAGGTGTGTGATATCATGCCTGGCTATTTTATTTTATTATTATTATTATTATTATTTGAGACGGATTCTTGCTCTTGCTGCCCGGGCTACAGCGCAGTGGCGCTCACTGCAACCTCTGACTCCCAGGATCAAGCCATTATCCTGCCTCAGCCTCCCGAGTAGCTGGGATTACCAGTACGTGCCTCCATGACTGGCTAATTTTGTTTTTTTAGTAGAGATGGGGTTTCTCCATGTTGGTCAGGCTGGTCTTGAACTCCCGACTTCAGGTGATTCTTCCACCTCTACCTCCTAGAATGCTGGGACTACAGGTGTGAGCCACTGCACCTGGCCTTATTTTTGTAGAGATGGAATCTCATATTGCCCAGGCTAATCTCAAACTCCTGAGCTCAAGCAATCCTTTCGTCTCAGCGTCCCAAAGTGCTGGGATTACAGGCATGAGCTGCCACACCTGGCCAGATTATAAAATACTTGGATATCCTTTCTCTGCAGCATTCAAAAGGAGGCAAGGCAAGCACAATTAAACCCCATTACAAATGGGGTGACTGAAGCCCCATTCATGGCTTGCCCAGGGTCACACAAAGAATGAGTGGCAGAGCCCTGAGCCTGTGTGCTTCCCTCTGTGCCAGGCTGCTTCACCCAGGCAGCGCTGCACCTTGTGCATGGGACATTTCTCCTTTCTTGTGTCCTGAGTACCTTAAGCTACTCAGATATTGCTCAGGGGAGGGCGGGGGGTGAGGGGAAAATGTTTTCAGTTTGTATTAATCAAAACAAAATACCACACAATGGGTGACTTCAAAATCATATATTTATTCTCCACAGTTCTGAACTTGGGAATCCAAGTTCAAGGTGGTAACTGGGCTGGTTCCTGGTGAGGGCTCCCTTCCTGGTTTGCAGACAGCCACCTTCTCCCTGCATCACCAGACACCCAAGAAAAGACGGGTGGGGGGTGGTGGGGGAGAGAGACAGAGAGAGAATGTTCTCAGACCCATAATGAAGGCCCCACCCCACAACCTCATCTAACTGTAATTACCTATCAAAAGCCCATTTCCACATACCATCACATTAGGGGTTAGGGCTTCAACATAAGAATCTGGGGAGGACTTCTACATTCTGTCTATAACATGGGTGGAAACCCATCTCTTCCCTACTGCTGGTGGGGAACCACACGCTGCAGCCCGTGAGAAGTTGCATGTTCTTGTTACAACTCGATCCAACTCCCCCAGATGAGGGGGGGCAGGGAAGGAGGACAAAACGGAGAGTGAGCAAGCATTAGGAAGAGAGTAGGGTGGCCAGAGGTAGCAAATAAAATATAAAATGGTTAATTTTGAATTTCAGATAAACAACCAATAATATTTTTTAGCATAAGTCTGTCCCAAACTAAGCTTGGGTCATATCTGTGCTAAGAAATTGTTCGCTCTTTATCTGAAATTCAAAGTCACCGGGCATCCTGGGTTTTACTCTGGCAACCCTAAGAGGCAAGGGCCAAGAATGCTGGGGAAGCCAGCAGGTTCCAGGAGGGACGACTGCTGGACTTCTGGACTGACGCTCTCTTTATATATTTAACTTTTTACAAAAGCCTATTTTCTTTTTTTGTATCAGCTTTTCACTAGCTTTCAAAAAACTGTGGTAAAACATACATAACCTAAAACTCACCGTCTGAGCCATTTTTAAGCATACGGTTCAGTGTATTAAGTAGGTTGACACTGTTGTGCCGCCATCAACACCATTCGCTTCCACCGCTCTTTCACCATGCCAGCCTGAAACTCTGCCCCCTGAACACGAGCTGCCCAACTCCGCCTAGCTTCCCCATCCCTGGCGGCCACGGCTTCTGTCTCCATGAATTTGACCGTTCTAGGCACCTCACATAAGTGGACCCATCCGATATCTGTACTTTTGCCTCTGGCTTCTCTATTTAATTCTTAAAGGGGGATGGGAACTAAGTGGACCACAAGGGAGCTGCCCACAGAGGCGAGGACAAGGTCAGGTGTGCTGGGGGACGCAGGAAACAGGTCCGGGTGTTGGGGCCGGAGAGCAGGGGCGGGCCCTGGGCCTGGGCTGGGGGTCCTGCCCCGGGGCGCACCCAGGGCGAGGGCTGCGGGGAGAAGCCGAGGCTGGCGGATAGCCAGGCGTGAGCCTGAGGGGAAGGCAGCGAGGGGACAGAGGACAGAGCCCTGGGAAGAGGTTCTGCAGAGCAGAAGGCACGGGTGGGGGCCGCATGGCGCGGGGAAGACAGGACACCGGAGCCGGGTGCACGTCGGGAGCTCGGAGGGCGCGTGAGTCCCGCGCCCAGGCTCGCGACTCTGCCGGCCAGGCCAGCGCTCTGGGTCTACCGGGTACTGGAGCCGCGAATAGGGCCAGCCAGCGGAGGGGGGATGGCGCCGTGTAGGGTGAGCGGTGGCGCTAGGACCCGGGGGCGCGGGCGGGCGGCGGCCGGAGGCGCTAGGACCCGGCGGCTCGGAGGGAGCGGAAGCGGCGGCGGGAGCTTCCGGGATTGCGGTGCGCAGGTGAGTAGGCGTCCTGGGCGGCGCGAAGTGGGGTCGTGGGGCCGCTGCGGGGCGAAGTGGGGGACCCGGAGGGAGGTGGGTGGGAGGTCCGGGACCCGCCGAGCTTGTGTTCCGCGGCCGCTTCCCGGCGGCCGCCTCCACTCCGCATGCCGCAGCTAGGCTCCGACCGCCTGGGAGGCGTCTTGGGGCCGTCCGGGAGCCTCCTCCCTGGAGCTGGGCCCTGCGCCCCGGCCTTGCCTGGCGCTAGAGGAGAGGCCAAGGCCCGCGGGGTGCGGGGACCCGGGCTCTGCGGGGTTCCGGTTCCGCCTCTCCCCCTCCCACGCCTTCCCTCTCAGGCCGGGTTCTGGGAAGCCTTGCGGGGCTCTTTTGCAGCTGCTGCTCGCCCGGAGCGCCCGGGCCCTAGTAGGGTACCCCACTTTTCTGACACTGCTTTGGGTTCCCGGGGCCTCCAGCGAGGCCTGTAACTCGGGGAGAGACCCAGGAGTGTGGGGTGTGAGAGAACCCCACTCACAGGGAGGGTCTGCAGGGAGGGCGCGGAGAGAGGCGTGCGGTGCGTGCATTTTCCTGGGAGTGCGCAGTTTACAACACATTCTCTAAAGCGGTGCTGTCCACTAGAAATACTGTGTGATACACGTGTTCAACTTTTGTCACTTAAAAAGAATCAGAAAAAAACTTGAACATGACATAGATGCAAGAAAAACACGATTATTAAATAATATTTATGCGTTTGTGGAATCGATTGAAGAGTAACAAAATGGATAGACAGGAAATATCACGGACCTGGAATAAATTGCAGTTACCCACTGTGGAACTGAGGAGCTAGGGCGTCTCATTATAAAACTGCCTTAGAAAAGACGACTTTTGATAAATTTTTCAACTTTCCCCCCCAACAGAATCCCCTATTTTCTCAAGTACTTACTGTCTGACCACTAAATAAGAGGTGATAGATAGGTCGCCTTTTCTGATGAGCACCACAGGCTTTTCAAAAGATGATTGCCAGTTAACCCCTTTGTGCCTGGGCTTTCTCATTTGTGAAAATAGTACTTCCTACCTCTAAAGTGTGTGGTGAAGACAAACAATTGGGGTGATGTATGCTAAAGAAAGTGTTTGCCACACGGGAGGGGCTGGTTAGTGTTAGATTCCCTTGTTCTTCCCTCAGATTCAAAAACAGATCTAATTTAGCCTTACATAAAGGCAAAGTATCAAGATAAGGTGACTTGATACTTTGAAAACAACAAAACATGTCCGTAAATAACGAAAAGCTTGGAATTCAAACAACAGATTCAATGTGAGCTTGATCTCAAGCTAGTGTTTTGATGTTGAAAAAAATGTGATTTGGTCTTTCTAACCCCATTTCCTTATCCAAAATTGGGGATGATGATAAATTCACTGATATTACGAGTTAAATGAGATTCTTGAGGAGTCACGACGGTTCTGACATAAGTAGGTATTATTAGCAGCCATATCGTAGCATAAGAAAATGCCATCTGCTGAAAGAGGGACAATAAGGTTATCTTCATGATCATGCAAAAGCTACCGGATATAGGAAGAAGGGGCATAAAATGACAATGTTAGATGATTAATTTTGATGCTTAGGTCGGAGTTCATCCTGGCACATCTCCTGCCGGAAAAGAGACTCATTTCTTTGGACTCACAGGACACTGAGTGAGAGGAAAGAAGAAAAATGTTTAAGTCACGTATGTGATTTCTAAGAGTAAAAAACAGATGAAATTAGTAATACATTTTTTAATCCAGTAAATCCCAAATATGGTTATTTTAGCATGTAAGCAACATAAAATATTTTGATAAGAGATTTCACATTCTTTTTTCCTAGTGTTTGAACTTTGGTGCATATTTTACACTTACGGCACATCTCAATTCGGACGGTCCACTTTTCAAGTGCCCAGTGGCTTCGTGTGGCTGGTGACTACCACACTCGACAGCACGGGTCTAAGGATTTCATTCCTGGCACAGGTCCAAACTCCTAACCTTAATTTTGAGTGTTTTTTTTTTTTTTAACAAACGGGCTTCTGTTTATCATTCTTCTAGTACTTCCCCAAGGATGATTGTACCCTCAGCACTCAAGATCACTTGCTGTTCCCCTACACACTTTTGTTCAAGCTGTTTCTTTCACCTGGAATGCTGACTTTGCACCGTCTTTCCTGTACCTGGTAGAAAGGCACACATTCGTTTGGTTTTTGTTTTTTTTTTTTGAGATGGAGTTTCGCTCTTGTTGCCCAGGCTGGAGTCAGATGGCCCGATCTCGGCTCACTGCAATCTCTGCCTCCTGGGTTGAAGTGATTCTCCTGCTTCAGTCTCCTGAGTAGTTGGGATTACAGGCATGTGCCGTCACACCTGGCTAATTTTGTATTTTTAGTAGATTTCTCCATATTGGTCAGGCTGGTCTTAAACTCCTGAACTCAGGTGATCTGCCCAACTCAGCCTCCCAAAGTGCTGGAATTACAGGCGTGAGCCACTGCGCCTGGCTGAGAGGCATACATTCTGCTAAGAGCTTTATCCTGACTCCCCTAACCCCAAAAGGGATTTGTCCCTCCTTAGCCTTGTACTCATGGCTGGATTCGAGTGAATTTAATTTGAGTTTAATTGTTTTTAGGACTATCTTCCTAGCTAGTGTAGTGTCTTACTCATCTTTGTTGTGATCATGCCCTGTACCTAATAAATAATCAGTAGATGTTTGCAGACAGAAAGTAAACCACTTATCAGGTGTATTCAGTCCCTTTTTTTCTTTTTTTTTTTTTTTGAGACGGAGTCTTGCTCTGTTGCCAGGCTGGAGTGCAGTGACACGATCTTGGCTCACTGCAACCTCTGCCTCCCAGGTTCAAGCAATTCTCCTGCCTCAGCCTCCCAAGTAGCTAGGACTACAGACATGCACCACCATGCCCAGCTAATTTTTGTGTTTTTAGTAGAGACGGGGTTTTACCATGTTGACCAGGCTGGTCTTGAACTCCTGACATCAGGTGATCCATCCACCTAGGCCTCCCAAAGTGCTGGGATTACAGACGTGAGCCATGATGCCCAGCCTTCAGTCCCATTCTTTAACGGGCTTGCTGCTTCCTTTTTGAGGAGAATTGTGTATGTGGTTTAATGTGTGTGTGAGCAAACAGCATACACACAAACAAGGAATTCATCTTACACACTAACAAGGAATTCATCTTAAGATGTGCACAGGAAATATCTTGCACCTTTACCCTCTTTGTGATCTTACATATGGGAGAACTGAGGCACAGAAATAAGTTAGGATGGCCAGCAAACTTGCATCAGTATAAATACAAAGAAGGGGAGGGAGGAAGCTTCTTGCAAGGGCTGTGATGGTCTCAGAGGGTTAGGCTTCTCAGATGGCTGGGCATCAGCTGGCCGTACTTTGGTTATATGATTGGAGGAAAAAGAAGTGGGAGGTGAGGAGTAACTCCTGGGCCCTGATGAGTATTCAAGCCAAGTACAGATCTGGAAAGCCTGTACACAAAGGAGGAGCTCACTGCTGGAGAAAAAGCTGAAGAGCAGGATGGTTGCCTCAGATCATGAAAAGTGCTGGCCTGAGGAGGGTAGAAGGAAGCGCTGGGGAAGCCAGCAGGGGAAGCAAAGGAGTAGGCTTCAGCTGTGTGAAGATGTTCACGCGGTGCGTTATGTAAAGTACACAAATTATTATTGGGAATAACCACATCTCAGCAGTGCTGGTTCTCAGTCTGGAGAATGGGAAATAGAAAGGATCAGATTCAGAGAAGGCAACTTACGCAGTGTCACAGCATTTTAAACTCAGATGAAACCTAGGCCCTTCCTGCCACACTCACCAGCCCCACCCACTTGTGTTGCAAGCAAGGTCCCCACTGTAGTGCTTCGGAGAGCAGGTCTAGGGCACAGTGCCAGGGCTGATTAATGTCTTCCTTACCGTTTTCCAGTGAGGGGCTGTGATTAGGCCTATCTATAGGGGCCTGGTCCCTTAATATTCTGCCTGGTGCATCTCTTGCCAATCAAATCAGTGCCGTCTGCAGTGTGATTGCTACTTTAGTGATACCAGGTAGAGGAGTTAATTAAACCCAGTAAAATAGACTCTGCCCTCCCTTTGCAATTCCAGAAGTGTTTTTCCTTCCTGTCCTCCACCCCCATGTGCACCTCCTTCCTCTAAGGCCCCCTAAGCTCTTATCTAGGTGAGCAGGCCTGGACACCCCTATACCTAGAGTCACTAGCCACTGCCCAGTCTGTTTCAGGAGCAGACCTCGAATTCTCATGGGTTAAAGTGGGAAGAACCCATGTGTGCACATTTTTGTGCTTTTCCAGAACTGGGTACCGTTTGGCAGTTGATCAGGCAATCTCCCCAACTACCCCATTTCCATCCCTTGGTTTTCAGCCTCTTTTTTTCTCTGCAACTAAGGTTTCTTTCTTGTCTATCCGAGGTCGGGAGCTGAACTGAGACAGTGTATGGAAAGGGTGCCTGGCAGCTACCAAGCACCTTGTAAGGGGTCAGAAATGTTGCACCTTCTCTGAACTCCTCTGTTGGCCCTACCAATTCCCCAGACCCTGGTCCTGCCCTCCCGCTCCCTCATGTACTCAACAGGCATCAGCAGAATCCCATCTGTGTGCTCCTGGCCTCCCACTAAATGCTCTGTCCCCTTCTCACCTATTTGTGCAGGCTAAAGCTATGTGCATAGTTGGGATGAGGGCTGTGTTTTCTCTCCTTCCTTTTTGAGAATTGTGTATGTACTCTTGTCACTCCTTAGCCTTGTACTCATGGCTGGATTAGAGTGAATGGGTGCAGGTGGGTGTGGGCAGCTCTGATTCTCTGACTCCCACCCACAGGCACCATGACTCCTGTGAAGACCCAGCACTCCCTGTCAGGTCAGACATATGCTGTGCCCCTCATCCAGCCAGACCTGCGGCGAGAGGAGGCCGTTCAGCAGATGGCAGATGCCCTGCAGTACCTGCAGAAGGTCTCTGGAGACATCTTCAGCAGGTGGGTGCTGCCACCCACCTCCTCCTGATCAGAGGACCATCCCTATCCTGGGCAGTCCTAGCAATCTGCACGCTGGGAGCAGCCCCCTAGGGGATATCCTGGTCCTGGGGGACCCATCTGGCTTCATTGTGTGGAGGGGCTGAGGTAAGAGCCCAGCTTGGAAGGTTTTGCTCCTGAGAGTCTGAGAGCTCACTCCCTTCCACCCACTTAGCCTCCTGGTTTCCTATGGTATCTCTGCTCTCCTAACTCATTCTCTTCCTCCCACTTGGGGGGCATATTCCTTCACTTTTTCCTGCAGCCAGCAAATACTTGCCCAGTAGTGTTCGTGTGCAAGGCATTGTAAGAACCTCTACAGATCCAGCCATGGATAAGGCAGCATCCCTCTCCAGCTGGAGCGCACTTGTTGGCAGGAGAGAAAGACCTAATAACCAATGCATGATTAGTTCTTTAATAAACAGCTGTGACAAGGTTGATAATATTTGGTAATCACTGTTCTTTATATAGCATTGACCATGCACCACCATTGATTTGAGTGCATTAACTCATTTAGCCCTTGCCACCCTTTATGAGCAGGCACTGCTGTCATCTCCATTTTATAGATGAGGAAATGGAGGCACAGAAAGGCTGAGAGACCTGGCCAAGTGACAGAGCCAGGGTTCAAAGCCACAGATCACGGCCCCAGGTTCTGTGAGTTATTACCGCCTCTGCGGAGGGGAGATGGGGTGCTGCGAGGCTTGTCCTGTCTTGGTCTTGGGTCAGGGAGACCTGGCTTGATCTTGGGTCAGGGAAGGGAGATGTGAGGAAATGACATTTGTGGTAAAGTCTGAGAGCTGAGTTGGGTAGGTCAGGAAGAAAATTCCAGAAAGAAGGAAGCACATGAACTGTAACCCAGAGGTAGAGGACCTAAAAGAAAGCCAGCATGGCTGGAGCACGGAGCGGCCATTGAGGGAGCCGAGTTGGAGGGCTGAGGCTTCTTGTATCAGCAGTGCTGACCTCGCACAGTCCTTGGGCTCTGGTGACTTACACTCAGTGTTTATCTAATATGAGTGAGTGAGTAATGTTTGCTGTTTCCTGGCAAGGTCCCAGCGGTTGTTGGAGGCACAGGTCCTGTCTTTGGCCATGAACAACCTGAAATGAGGCTTGGTCTCCTTCCCGAGATCCCACACAGTGCCTCACATGTGGACCCCAGTGGGAAGTATGTGACTGCCTGACTCCGGTCCCTCTCATGGTCCAAGTGACCCCTGCCCTGCCCTTCCCTGGTTGTTGCCAGACCTGGAGCTCCTCATCCTTCACTGTGCAGCCTCCTCTTCTGTCACCAACTGGAAGCCCACCTCTTCCTGAATGACCTCACCCCACTGGCTCACCGGATTGCCCCAAGCTTGTCAAGAATGCCCCTGTAACCAAGGGGTCACGCACTGAAGTGGCCGAGGGGGTCACCTTGGAGCTGATGCCTTGGCTCAGATCCGGCTTTCCTGTTTGCTTCCTCTGTAACCTTGGGCAACTCAACCCCTCTAAGCCTTAATGTTCTCACCTGTGAAGTTGTGATAATAATGGTAGCTTCCTGGTAGAATTATTTTAAAGACTAAATGAATGAAGACATGTAAAGGAATGGAACAGTGCCTGGCACCTAGGAAGACCTGAGGAAATGCTGGCTCCTCCCTGTTGATGATCTTGACCCGTCTACTGGACTTGGTTGCCATTCATGAACCTGTCATCAGTAGTTACAGAAATTGTTGGATGCACCTTTTGTGCTTATCGTTGTGATAAGTGTGCCCAAGGGACACCTAGGCAAGCGGATGCAGGCCTTGAAAAGCCATCAGCTCCAGATTATGGCCACCCATGTTCAGTGCTTAGAATGGAAGCCAAAACCATTCCCTCAGAAACTGTGTTTCCTCACCAAGATGGGGATTGCATGGTTGTCCTTCTCTGAGGGCAGCCTTGGATTTTTGGTGTCTTTCCTTTCCCGTCCTGGTACTTGGCACCTTGTAGACAGTTGCATGTCCCCTGCCCAGGGATGGGATGAGGAGAGGGCAGGAAGGCATCTTCTGGGGAGTAGAGTGCTGCATTCATTGAGTGTGGGTTCCTCAAGTTGCTGGCACAGCCCGCGGAGGGGAAGATGCTTTTCAGGACCACTGGGCCCGAGTCCTGGATCTCTCATGCCAGGTTCCAGGTCACTGCATCGACCTCTCCACCATGTGCTCCACATCATGCTGGATCTTTAAGAGACACCAATTATGAGGCTGACACTGTGTCCTCAAAGAGTTTAGAGGCTGGAATGGGAATATGTAAGGCGAGATTAATTGTTAACTGCGTAGCATGGACCACGTGGGCTTCTCAGGGTCTAGAAGGGAGAGAAATCAGTAAAAATTGGTGGCATACCTGTCAGAACTCCCCAAACCAAGCTAAGCAAAAGGTAACCAGTAGGGCAGCCTTTGGAGTTAGGGCTAAAATGACATCATCAGGGCCTGGCTTTGCTTCCTTCCTTGTCAGTTTGCTTCTTTGGGTCTGGCTGCATTCTCAGACAGGCCGTGCCCTCGTGGTGGCAAGGCAACATGGCAGGGTCAGTTTCAGCAGGAAAGAATGCTCTCCTGTGTCCCCCACTCCCTCTAGAGGCCACACTCACCTGGATTGGTCCTTGTGTCTGTCCCAGAATCCATCGCTGGGGCCAGGGGACTATGACATGCCACTTGGCTTAGACCAAGGAGCTCTTCAGACCACCCACCTGAAGCTCAGAATGGAAGCTTGCAGGAGAGATGGATTCCCCAAAGGAAACAGGGCAATTGCTTGAGTAAAGAGGATATAGGTGCTGGAGAGGAAAGCCACATGCCTACTCCACATAGGGCAGGCTCCTGGAGGAGGAGGGCAGGGTAGGGAGGTGGGCATGCAGGTCGCCCTGATAGGGTCTAGATATGGGGGCCACAGGCCTGGAGAGAAGCCTCAGTGTGGCTTGGAATGTGGTGTATGATGGTCTGCTGGGAAGGCCGGCCTGCACAGGGGCTGGAGGGGGGTTAGGGGTTCTGCATGGGGAGCACAGACAGTGCTGCCTCTCCCTTGCACTCAGCTCACAGGACATGAGAGGCTGATTTCCCATGAACCTGTGGGCCAGGCATCTGGATGGTGCTAAGGAGCTTTGCCTTGGTTCCTCCGTGTCCCCACGGGGCCATGGGAGGCTCCCTGGCAGTGTGTGGGGCAAAGTAATGAGTGAAAAGTTGGGATGAATGAGTTAGGGTCCACGGAGTACTCAGGAGAGGACTTATGTTGATTCATGAGTGTTAGGGAGCAGTGATTGGGTTTCAAGCAGGGGAGGGGTGGGACAGAAGAGTTGGGGAAGGTTCATCAGGCATCCTTCACTGAAGGGACATGAAGAGAGAGTGGATGCCAGGGACACCCAGAAGCTGTTGCTGTAGTCAGGATGTGACAGGGATGAGGCCGCAGACAGGGGACCTGCAAACAGGGAGGGCTGGGTGAGACATTCAGAGGAAACAGATGACAGGAATTGGTGACAGATAGGGAACGATGATGAAGGAAAGGGAGGAGTCAGTGATGAGTGGGAGTGGAGTGGGGAGCACCAACACCTCTCCTCCTCCACCTGCCCTTTTTCTGTGGCACTGGACAAGCGGGTGGACTTTCCATTTTTCATGAGCTTTTTTGGTGGGGATGTGACCAGCTTTGAATCTCTCCCCTTAAACATGCTCCTCCTGCTTAGAAACCTCATGCACAGAAGAAACAGGTGGGCAGAAGAGAGACTCTCTCTCCCTCCCACCCCATCTCAGGCCCCAGCACAGCCCAGTTCCTGGCCTCACTGGTGCCTGTGCCCAGTGGCGCAGGCAGGTGAATGCCTGGCATTTAGCATTCCAGGCTGTGCTCTCTCCTGCTCTGCCGCAGCCGGGAGTGTGCAGAGACTGGAGGGAATGACAAGCACCTCCCAGGCTCTCTTTAGCTGTGCCCCTTCCTGTCCCCTCTTTCTGCCTCTCCATCTGTCCCCTCTTCACCTGAGAGAAGTCAGGCCCCAAAAATATTGGGCCAGATATGTCACCTGCTTCCCATGACATAGATGACAAGGAAGGAGGGAGTTGGGATGGCACAGGGAAGAGGAAGGAACAGACTCTGTGTGTGGAAGTTTGGATGCTGTCATTTGCCATTGCCAGTCAGCCCCTGCCCAACCTTTTCACACAAGAGGCTGTGCCACTGCCCAGCGCCTTCCCCCTGGGAAGGGTGATTTTCTCTGCAAAGCTCTTTGTCCTTTCCTCCATCTATTTCTTTTTCCTTTTCCCCACCTCTTCCTTTCTTCTTCCCTTCCTCTTTTCCCCTTTCCCCTTGTCCTTACTTCCTCCATCCTTCTCCCTGTTCTCTCTACTGATTGGCACCTGGTGGCCCCCAAGGTTATACATTGCACTAGATCACTGCATAATTAGCAAGTCGTTCTTAATTAGCACAGAGTGGAGAAGATAAAGGTAAAGGCAAGAGCACAGGTTCAGGGTCTGCTTCCCTGGGGTCATGACAGGCGGGGGAGGAGAAGCAGTGAATCAGGAGTGGGAGCCGGTGCTCCCTGCTTCCTCCTCCCCTAGGGACTGGTGTGCTGACTGGTGATGGGCCATCATCAGCTCCTTGTCACCTTCACAGGAATCACATGATGTAGAAGGGACCATTCCTATTTTTCAGTGGAAGAAGCTGAGGCCAAGACCAGTGAGTGGCCTCCCCAGGGTTAGGCTGCTGCTAAACAGAAGTGAAACCCAGGCCCATGGGATGCTGTGGTTATTGATGCTTATCTCTTACCCAGGAGGCCTGAGTCTCTTTGGGAGTGGATGTGTGTTGTCTGATTCGTCTTTGGCTCCCACGCGGTCCCGCAGCACTGTGCTTTCAAGTGGAATGCGCTCAAGATACTGAACAGTAAGGGGTGGAGTCGGGAGATGGGAATCGAGAGATGCTTGGGGATTGTCCTCTCCAGGGGAGATAGAGGAAGACAGACCCTAAGCGAGACCACGTGCAGAGCAGGCTGGGTGAGCCAGTTTTGTCCCTGATGCCCACAGAGCAGCTTCCTCTCTCGTGCTGGGCGAGTGTGCCAGAGGGGATGGCTTTAACACTGAGCTTGTAAAGTGACCTACCTTGAAGTAGGCTACCAAGCCAAGGGAGTCTATACCAGGAATGGCAAACAAATGGCTCTCATGGCACCATTCCCCCACCCTCACGGTGGGCATTGTTCATCAATGCCCTGGCCCCAGTGAGGCCTAGAGGCCTTCCCAACACAGTCTCCCAGACCATCCTGCCAGTCCACAGAGATAGCAGACCAGCCACAAGCTTTCTGACCCTGAATCTGCACTTGTCCTCAGCACCATGGCCTGTGACCATGAGATAATAGACGGTCCGGGGGCTTTGTCAGCAAGCATGCCGTTCCTTAGTCTCATAGGCTCCTGGTTAAGGAAAGAACCCCAGGATCATGTCTTCTGCCTCCACCTCAGGGAGGATTCACCCTTGGAGCACCCCGGATGGTGCTTGTGAGCTGGAGCCTAATTGCTCCTCAAAGTGATGCAGTTGTTTATTAGAAAGTTGTTGTCTTTTTTTTTTTTCCTAAACAGCACAGAGCTCTGTTTCCTTGCGACTCTGCCCACTATTCCTGATAGAAGTTTACTCACTTCACCCGACAGCCCTTTTGATATTTGAAGGGAATGATCATGTTCTCGAAGTCATCTGATCTTTAGCCGGATCATCCTTCGGTTATCTTCATATGTCGGCAGTTTCTCACTCCTCACCATCCTCATCACCCTCCTTGAGATGTTCACTCATTTGTCACTTTCTGTTCAGCCAGCGGCTGTTAACGCATCAGGCCCCGTCCCAGGTGCTAGAGACGTAGCAGTGAATGAGACAGAGGGCAGTCTGTACGGGAGGTCAGAGTCCTCTGACTGTGGATCCAGTTTAAAGGGATGTGACTGTGGCTGAGACTGGTGCCTGGCATAGACTCGTTCATGAGTCCAGGGCCCTGTTTTCTGTGGTGCCTCCAAGAGAGTGCATGGTCCCTGCTGAGTGGAAGAAGGATGAAGGGCAGAAGAGGGACAGGGAGCTGTGTGCCCTAAGAGCTCATTGCCTTTTTATGCTGATTAACATGCTTTAGCTTCTGCTGAGCTTACAGTTAACAGTAGCTTCCGGGTCTTTCGTCACCTGAACTGTGTCTAAACCAAGTTCCCTCCACCTTCTATATTTGTGCACTTGATTTTTAAACCCTAAATGTTGGGCTTCACATTTGTTCCCTATAAATGTCATCCTGGTGATTGCAGTCCACCCTCTGGCCTTTGAAAATCATCTGAGCCTTGATTCCATCATGCAGACCATTTTACGGCCTTACTGTGCTGGCCCCAGTTTTCTAACCAGGTGTTGAATGAACTGGAAGGGCCCTGCCAGAGTTCTCCATGCAAGGCTGGAATCAGACCATTGTTCAACAGTGCTCTTTGGGGCTGTGGTTCATTTGGCTCTGATTTTTCCCATATGTCCTCTCCTCCAACCCCCATAGCTCCATCCTGTCCACAAGATTTTGTTAGAAGCCGTCAAAATCCGTGCTGACTCAAGAGGCACTGTGCTGCAAGTTTTCCCTGGGCACAGCAGGCTAGTAACCTATTACAAGGGAAAATGCTGTGCGTTTTGAGCAGTGCTGGCCCCTGGGACTCACCTCTGCCTTTTCTAAGCGCTTACAGACTCTCTGTTTAATAATCCATTCCAGAAACTTGCCAGGGCTCATGGTTGAGCTTGGTGTTTGCAACTTTGAGTGATCAGCCCTTCTCTTCTCTATGGCAGCACCAGGACGGAGGAGCCTTTGTCCCTCCCCAGTCCCAGTTTCCTCCCACTGCCCCTGTGGACCTTGAGTACAGAGCTTATGCAACTACTGAAGATTATGTCAGTACCCAGGGACAGAATAAGGCTGTTTCGCCAACTGGGGTAAATTAAAACAGCTTGTACTGGAGGAGCCCTCACAGCAGATGAAGGCCTTTCCCCAGCCAGAAAAGATGGAGCTGGGTGGTGGCCCTGCTTCCTCACTGGGAGGAGACGATGCTCTTCTTTTTTCTTTCTGAATGGTGGCCACCTTCATACTGGTCTGTCATGGAACACTTAAGCTGCTTGGGTGTCTGTTGGTATATCCAGCCCTGCCATGCCTGAGCTCCCTGGAGTAATCGGGATAGACTCATTAGGGGATGGGGACCCCTGGATTGTGAATTGGCTCTCTGGGGCCAAGGCCTTCTAAAGTTGGTGGGAGTGGCTTCAGCTTGTTGGGTCTGATTCCAGGTCGTTCGTTCCAACCTTAAGAGAAATCCCAGCATTCCCTAGCCCAGAGTCTGCAACCTTTTCACCATCCCACGTCCTCCTCCTGCCTTTCCTCATGAACCCCAGTTGTGCCTCTGCCTTCTTATCCCACACACAGGCTCACTCATGCCAGGTGAATGCTGAGGCTTCTCTGAATGTGGAGTGTGGCCCTTGTGGGCAAGGGCTGGGTTCTTGGGGGTAGGGGAGCTACAGAGGTGACTTGGAGGAGGATGGTGTGTCACACGCACATCAGAGTTAACTTTGCAGTGAGAGCAGCCTTACTGTGGCCAAATAATGTGGAAAAGCATAAGTGGGGTTATGTGCCTTAAAGCGTCAGGCACCTGGGTCTTGCCCACCAGGAGCCAGCCACAGGGTTGTCTGGGGAATGGCATTCCCTGAGATGGAAGTGCACAAGAATGCACTTGTCATCTGGGGAACAGCAGGGCAGCGGTGTCACTGGGCCCAGCCCACACCAGGAGAGATGGAAACAGGTGAGGAGCTAGACCATACAGAGCCCGTGGGCCGTGGTCGGGACCCAGGACTTGCTCAGCGAGCTGTTCACTATGTGCAGGGGCAGTTCTTCCTCTGAATTTAGGCGACAACACTCAGTTCCAGCCTTGCCATTCTCAGCCTCTGGTCTCGATTCCCCTTCTGCAGAGGCCACTTTGTCTACTCACGTGATCGTGAGGGGTTGTGAACTGCCTTGCCCCATCAGCAGCCATGTGTGCATGTGTAAATACCATCCTCTGCGTGCCCTGGAGGCTGTCCTTCAGATAGCACGTGCAGGTGCCAGCATAGGGCCAGGTGGCTGCATGTCCCTACCGAGAGTGCAGGGAACTCAGTACTGTCAACGCCTCGGTCCTGCAGGTCAGATTGTCCTTGCAGAGGCCACCTGGATGGCACCAAGTTTGGCCCTGGCAAGCAGGTGATCCTGACTTAAGGGCCCTTGCCTGAGGGCTGGCCTAGCAGGTCTGCTGTTAGGAGCAGGTGGTGTACAGGGGGTAGGGAGCAACCCCAGCTTCTATGATCTTCTCCATGGCAGGATCTCCCAGCGGGTAGAGCAGAGCCGGAGCCAGGTGCAGGCCATCGGGGAGAAGGTCTCCTTGGCCCAGGCCAAGATTGAGAAGATCAAGGGCAGCAAGAAGGCCATCAAGGTAGCCCCCATACCCCTGTATCCTGAGGCTACTGGGCTGTCCCTCTGAGGCTGTCCCTGCTGCCCACTCTTACCTTGGGCTTTCCTCCTGCCCAGGCTCCCAACCCCACCCTCTCCTGCCAAGCAAGCCTGGCCCTCTGAGCCTCTTGGGGACCCTCAGACTTGTCCCTGTGTCCATAGGTGTTCTCCAGTGCCAAGTACCCTGCTCCAGAGCGCCTACAGGAATATGGCTCCATCTTCACAGGCGCCCAGGACCCTGGCCTGCAGAGACGACCCCGCCACAGGATCCAGAGCAAGCACCGCACTCTGGATGAGCGGGCCCTGCAGGTTTGCTGGCCATGCACATCACACGGCCTGTCACACACCTGGAGGCCTGGATGCTGGGGACGAGCCGGGGCTGCCATAGGGTTCTGTCCCGCAGAGGAGGCTGACTGGGAAGGGGTGGCAGCTGATTTGGCCCAGCACTAAATACTCACTATCCCTTGGCCCCCCTGGCCCTCCCAGGAGAAGCTGAAGTACTTTCCTGTGTGCGTGAGTGCCAAGCCGGAGCCCGAGGATGATGCAGAGGAGGGACTTGGGGGTCTTCCCAGCAACATCAGCTCTGTCAGCTCCTTGCTACTCTTCAACACCACCGAGAACTTGTATGGCCAGAAGGCAGGGCCGAGGGGTGTGGGCGGGAGGACCGGCCTGGCTTAGTGGGGACAGAGGGCATCACACACAGGTATAGCACCGAGGCTGGGAGCCAGGGGGTAACTGGGTGGCTTGGCTTGAGAGGCCTGGGACCCCACTGTGCATACTGTGCCCCTGATGGTGTGGGAGAGGTAGGAATGTGGGCTCAGGACAGCAGGTGTCAGCTTGCCTGATCCCCTCGTTGCCCCTGTAGGTACAAGAAGTATGTCTTCCTGGACCCCCTGGCTGGTGCTGTAACAAAGACCCACGTGATGCTGGGGGTGGAGACAGAGGAGAAGCTGTTTGATGCCCCCTTGTCCATCAGCAAGAGAGAGCAGCTGGAGCAGCAGGTGGGAGGAACAGGGCTGGGGTGGGGGCAGGTGCAGTGGCTGGGGGCCCTGCCAGGGCTCCTCTCCAGGCAAGACTGTTGAGCCCTTTATTCCACCCATGTGGGGGTGCACACAGACCTTGCAGGATGCCCCTGCAGGTCCCTGTCATCTCTCACATGTCCCTACCTAATCCTGCAGGTTCCAGAGAACTACTTCTATGTGCCAGACCTGGGCCAAGTACCTGAGATTGATGTGCCATCCTACCTGCCCGACCTGCCTGGCATTGCCAATGACCTCATGTACAGTGCCGACCTGGGCCCCGGCATTGCCCCCTCTGCCCCTGGCACCATTCCAGAACTGCCCACCTTCCACACTGAGGTAGCCGAGCCTCTCAAGCCAGGTGAGCTGGGCGCTGGGATGGGAGCTGGGCCAGGGACCTCCCTGCTCAGACACCTTCTTTCCTAGACACCCACACTTCCTCTTTCAGACCTAGAAGATGGGGTACTCACAGCACCCCCACCGCCCCCACCACCTCCCCCAGCTCCTGAGGTGCTGGCCAGTGCACCCCCACTCCCACCCTCAGCCGTGGCCCCCGTAGGCCCAGGCGCCAGGCAGGACGACGGCAGCGGCGTGTCTCCTTCAGGTGGGAGCAGCTCTTTGAGGACACCTCTGCTCATTTCTGGTGTGCTCGGTGCAATCAGGTGGATCGTATGTGGGTTTATTAAGTGTCCAGAAATCCTTGATTTTTTTTTTAATAGTTCCCATTTCAAATGTCTTGTTCTACTTGGTTCATAAAATAGTGGTTTTCAAACTGTAGAGCTCTGGAATGCTCACCTCTTGGGCAGAGGGGGCCTGAACAAGTGAGGCTCTGGGTTCCCCATTCCGAGTTAAACCAATGGAAAGAAGAGGCCTAATAACAAACTACAGCAACAAACGATTCAGTGTCCCTGAAATTACAGCATTTCAGCTTTACTGTCATATCCCCCGTCTATCTCTAGGAGCCAGAAGTGGCACAAAACGCCTCTGCTGGCTTGTGTGTGCAGCTGAGACTGTCAGTGCATGGCTAGCTCAGGGGTCCAGCTCTGCAGGGTGGGGGCTGGAGAGGGGCAGGGAGTGTCTGCACACACATCGCCTGCACTCAGGTGTTGCAGAAGTCAGTGCCCAGGTCCTGTGTGTCCAGGCCCCGCAGTCTTCAAAGGCTCAGCATCCCCAACACGGGCCTCCTCGAAGGGGAGGTGCCCTCTGTCCTAGCAGGGTCTTGGCCACGATAAGCTTCCACAGCCCTGCCTGAGCAGCCTTTCCTCCTTGTCCTGTTCCCCACCTCCCAGCTCCAGTCCAGGGAGCTCCCAGGGAAGTGGTCGACCCTTCTGGTGGCCGGGCCACTCTGCTAGAGTCCATCCGCCAAGCTGGGGGCATCGGTAAGGCCAAGCTGCGCAGCGTGAAGGAGCGAAAGCTGGAGAAGAAGAAGCAGAAGGAACAGGAGCAAGGTGAGTGGGCCCCGGAGCCTGCGGTTGGAGGGCCTCGGACAAAAGCACTGCCTGTTGTCTGGCACTGAGTCTACAGGGTGCTTTCTGCCTGCCCCCTGCTCCTCCCCGCCTGCCCCTGCTTCCCCTAGGGCACATGCTGGAAGCCCTGGGCCACCGCCCAAGGTCCTCAGCCCTCCTGCCTGGGCCATGGCTCCTTCCTGGTTTGGGAGCCTTAGTGGAGCTTTCCTCTCTAAGCTCACCCAGCTCCAACTGTGACAAGGGGAATCTTCCTCAACTGCCGAGACTGGTCCAAGGCAATGGTCAGCCACCACAGCCTCCTGAGATATTTTTAGAGACTAGACCTGAGGCCTCCTGAGGCTACCCATAGAGCCTACTGTGAATGCAGACACGGGTGCCATGTGATGCCTGCGCATACTGCAGCAGTGCCCTGGGCACTATGGTTCTGAACTTGCGCCCAGCGCTGCTTGTGCCTTGCTCAGTGACCCCAGGCAAGCTGCCTCACCTCTCTGGGCTAGTTTCCCCATCTGTGCAGCGGTGCTGCCTACCCTGGCCCTGTTCCCGAGGGGGGCTGGGAGAGTGCTCCTCAAACGTACGCGCTTTCTCATCAGTGCCCAGTGTTGAGTCAGGGATAGACTGAAGCGCTGAGCTAACTGGGAAACACGTGGCCTTGGAGGGCTGGGGAGTGTCGTGGGGATGGGGACAGAGAGCTGGGGTTTCATGTGACTGAACCCTTCACTCTGGCTTTCCCATTGCAGTGAGAGCCACGAGCCAAGGTGGGGACCTGATGTCGGATCTCTTCAACAAGCTGGTCATGAGGCGCAAGGGTAGGAGGCAGGGCCGCTGCCCGCCCTGGGCCGGCACATTGTAATTCTCTCTTGCCTTTTTCTTCGTATGTTTAAGTTTCTGGGGGCTGGGGGAACCAGTGTTTCCCACCCACCACCCTCACTCAGCCTTTTCCTTCCAGGCATCTCTGGGAAAGGACCCGGGGCTGGTGAGGGACCTGGAGGAGCCTTCGCCCGCGTGTCAGACTCCATCCCTCCTCTGCCGCCGCCACAGCAGCCACAGGCAGAAGAGGATGAGGACGACTGGGAATCCTAGACTTGGGCCATTGCTCTGACCTGGACACAGCCAGGACAAGCTCCTCAGACCTGCTGCCCTAGGAGGGGGCAGTGATGGAACTGTCCCAGGACTGCGGGCACCACCTTCAGGGAGCGAGAGGCTGGCCTGAGGCCAGAGGGCTGGTGCGGGGGCTTCTGTTTGCCTGTGCTCCACCAGGGGACGGCTCCACCCAGCCTGCGCCAGTGTGTTCTTCTCTTCCCTAAGGAGGCTTCCATAGAAAACAGCAGCACAAATCAAAGAACTGAGTAGAAACCAACAGTGCACTTTAATAAAGGGCCTCTAGCTGTGCAGGATGTAAACGTCTCGAGGTCAGTGACTTTCCTCCTGCCCCTGTTGGTCCGTAGGCAGTGGGGGCAGAAGATCTCAGCTGACCATGATCCCTTTTCCCTGGGGTCAGAGGAGAGGTGCAGTCAGCAGGGGTAGCTGTTGCAGGGGGGAGGGGTAGTCTCCCACAGAAAAAAGCTTTCAGTGACAGACACGGGGTCTCTAAAAATAGTCATGCTGAGAGCCCAATGGCCCTTGGCATCATTGCTGGTGTTGCGGTCGAAGGTGTCTTGGAGCTTGCTCAAGTGGTTGAGAGGGAGGGAGGTGCCATCAACTTGCAGGAACTGGCACCAAGCCAGGGAGATAGAAATCCAGGGAGGGCTGTAGGGCGGTTTAGGGGCAGCGCTGCAGAAGGAGTGACTCAGGAAGAAGGTGGGGGAGGTGACAAGCCCCCAGGCGGGAGCCCTGTGGCCTTGGGGATCTTTTTAAATTGAGACTAGATGGTGAGTAGTCCAGGGCAGAAGCTTCAGCTGTTAGAAAAAGGGCAGAAGCAGATGGGCCCGCTCCATCCCGCCTCTAAGAAGGTGTTCAGGACAGAAATGCCACAGTAGAGGCTGCAGCCCCCACAGCCTCCTGCAGAGGCCCAGTGAGAAGCCTGGCCCTCGGCCATGTGGGATGGAAGACATTCAGTTCCACAGACGGGAGCCTCCCTGGGAAGACCTCAAGGGTGGCTGAGACCCACCATTTCTTCAGGATTCACCTGTTTCCACCTGTGGGCACTAATGCCTGTGCCTGGGTCCTGGCAGTGTTCTGGCACACTCCTGGGTTTCACCTTTGTAGTAGGATCCCTGCAGACCAGGCCCACCACAAACACAGTCTCCAGCAGGCAGGGCAGAGGAAGGGCGCAGTACCAGGCAGTGGTGCAGCTGCCCATCAGGAAGAGGCCAACTTCTCCCAGTGGAACTGGGCAGGGAGATGTCAGTGAGAATGGGATCTTGGGGTGGTGGAGGCTCTTGGGAAAGGAAAATGGAGGATTGAACTTCCCCACGGCAGCAATGGCAGAACCAAAGGTGGCTGTGACCTCCATGAAGGCTCGGATCCAGGCCGGCAGCTTGGCCAGGCCGGGCCGGGCATATCACTGGTCCAGGAGCACTGTGCTGGCAGAATGCCTTTGGTGACCGATGGCCCTGCCCTCATGGGACAGGAGGCTAGAGCTCTTGAGTTACAGCTGCCTTCCTGACAGCACATTTCCATGGCATCTCCCTCCCCTTCCTCAGCCTCAGGTGGGAGACAGGGCAGGCAACCCCTTTCCTCTTCTCCCCTTCTCCAGCCCCCATCTGTCCAGCCAGCTGGAGGCAGCTAGGCTTGCTGTGGACTGGTTGATGGCCTTCTTGCAGAGGTTCTCCACCAGATCCTTCCCTGGGGACACCTGGCCTGGGGCTCTGGGCTGGGGGTGAAGGGGATGACCCATGAGGACTGTTGGCCTGCCTGCAGCTCTTCCTGGGAAGAGACCCTGCCAGGCCTCGGGGCCAGACCAAGTGGTTTCATTGGCCAACGCAAGCAGCAGGGGTCCAGATGACATCACAGGGAAGATCAAGAGGTGTAGAGGGGCATCTGAACCTCCAGAGGGGACAGGAGATGCTGGCCCAGCAGGGAAGGCCTGGCTGTGTCAATGCTAGGAGTGACGCCACTGCCACCCACCACCCACTCTCCTCCTACCCTCTGCAACACTGGGGACACTCACAAGGGTGTGATCCAAGTTGGCCATCTTCTGCAGCTCTGGAGACCTATGTTCGGGAAGGGCATGCCTGCCATCGCCACACACCTAGGGGGAGACAGGAGCCTGGGGTCATCACCCACACATCACCAGCTGCTCCGTTCTGCCAATTCCTCGTCTGTGCTCACAGCTCTGCCCCTCCCAACTCTGCACCTACCACTCAGAGAGGGCTGGTTTAGCTGACAGATCCCGTCTATGCCAATGGATCTGTGTCCTGCTACAGCGATGGCCGGCCGATTTTCCACCTGTTCTCCCAGGGCCAAACCCAGAGCTGCTGAGCCCCTCCCTCCAACTGGCTGGTCTGAGCAGTCGCAGCCCGGCTTTGGGCTCTGATGGCAGCAGACAGCAGGTAGGGGCCCAGCTGCTGGAGGGAGGGCTGGCTGCCTGTCACAGCCAAGAAGATGAGCACTACTTACCAGCCTAGGTTGTCAGAGAAGTTGATCCCTTCACTCATCTTTCCTCCAGCCACAGAGAGGAGCAGGGCCCCTATCACCCAACCTCTCTCCTGGCCACAGCCTGGTGAGAGACACCTAGCCCCAGAGGTACTGAGCCAAAGCTTAGATGACACTCAACATTTCCAGCTACCTCCCTACCAAGGTCTCAGGCCCAAGCCTCAGAGTTACGCCTGCACCTGAATGCACCTGGAACACGAGAGTGGCACCTGCTCCACCTGGTGTGCACTCTTGGGTCCTGGAATATGTGGAGGCAGAGGACGTCTCCCAGAGATGGGTTCAGGGCGCTGGGTCTTGGATCTGCTGGTGGCTTTGTGTTTCCTGGCCAGGGGACAGGAGAGCCTTGCAACCTGGGGCTTTGGGGAAATCCTCTGTAGTCAGGTACTGGGAGTGGTGGGGATGAGGAGCTAGAAGCCTGTCCTGACTTGAGCACAAGAGCTCCCAAGAGGACTCAGGGGCACTGTCCTTGTGAGTGAGAGGGCCGGCTGATGGGCCACTCACCTTTCTGGTGGCCAGGCGGCCCAGCAGGCTGCCGTTCTCCCAGTGGGCATGGACCTGGTGCAGGTACTTGTAGGATGGGAAGAAATAGACTAACCCTCCAGAAACCACACCACACAAACAGAGGAGGCCATACACCTTGTCTATTTAAGGAAGGAAGAGAGGGAGCCTCCATGGAGCCACCCTTCAGCCACCCACAAATGGCGTCTTAACTCGAGGCTCAAAACTAAAGAGAGAGACCCAAGACATGACTACAGCCAGTGGGAAGGACTTGGCTCCCTTGGGCAAAAACCACAGGGTGGAAGGTGCCACCTCCCACCAAACACACGCAGGTGCTGCTGCTGACTGTGCCTTTCTGACACATCACAGCACTAGCGTCCCAGGGGGCCTTCCTATTGCCCAGACACTGAGTCCTCCTTTCCTCACTCTGGGGTCCTGATGGGCACCACAATGACAGGCACTGCATGCCCCAGGTATGCCACGGGAGATGCCCCCCAGTCCTCACATCCCGCCTATGGCAGGAGAGGATATAACCAAAGAGCAAGAGAGCCAAAGGGAATGAGCAGCTTTCTCATGTGTGGCATCCTCAGGGGATGCCTGGAGGTTTTAAGAAAATTCAGCAGCCTAAGGATTGAGGGCTGGGGAAGCTCACATTTCCTCCATAATCATCTGGATTGACACTGCTCATCCTGTGCGGCTCTGTAGTGGGTGTCCCAGTGCAGATTCTCAAACACCTGAAAATACTCAGGGTGTGCCAGAGTGCCCCTGCCCTGGAAAACCCTTTCCTGCCCAAGCCCAGGCTGTGGCAGGGTGAGCTGACTGGGACTGACAATCTAAGGCAGCTCTCTCTGCTGGAACGTGAATTCCAGGGGCTGATTGGAAATCCTTCTGCAGATGCAAGGGGCAGGATGCTGTCTAGAGGGATCACGTGACCAGGTGAGACCCCAGGAGGAGCTGAAAGCTGAAGATGCAGGTGTGCTGCAAGGCACAGTGCAGGAAGGGCATTTCCCCATCTTCCAGCATAGGAGCAGCAATTGACAGTGCTCACCTACCGGCCATCAGCGCTGTCATACTGGGCAGCAGGGAGCGGGAAGCAGAGCAGGAGAGCCTGGGTGAGCAACTCCACTACAGTGTTCGGCTTCCACCCCAGCCCAGGCCAGCAGTTGCTGCTGGAAGGCAGACACCTGGAGACCAAGAGCACAGCATCAGGACCCTGTGACCTCCCAAAGGGCCAGTGAAAAGGAAGTTGGAGGTCTGGGCTAAGATACAGCAAGTACACGTGAACAGAAAGAAAAGGCCGACGGCCAGGTAACAGAAAGAAAAATGGTGAATGATACGTGGTACGGGCAGTCGCATTTAAACTACGTGCAGGAACAGCAAAGGAAATCCGGCAAATTCGCAGTCATTCTCAACCCCGGCCATGCAGCAAAATCATCAGTGGAAATTTAAAGACATACACATGGCCAGGCCCCAGCCCAAGCCACTAAGAAGAATCTCCAACCCTTCACCTGTTAGACTGGCAAAAATCCCAAAGTAACCACTCTGAAGAAACAGGCGTTCCTGGACATGGCTGGTGGGATACAGAACAGAACAATTCTCGTGGAGGGCATTCAGATTGCAGTTAACAAATTAAACATATTTACACATTTAAACCCAGGAACCCCATATGTAGGAGTCTACTGAGATTATACAGGCCACAGATACCAAACAGCATATGCTCCAGGTGTTTCCCCATAATCGTGTGCCTGCCTATCCAGAGGGTACTGGCTGAATGAGCTCTCCTGTCGGAGAACACCCAGCCCACTAAAGGAGGGGTGCATGCATGTGGGGGTGCAGAGGCGCTGTGGTGGCCAGTGAGGGTCTCTTTTTCTCTGCCTCCCTCTCTTGCTATCAGCATGGGACTGGGGATTCAGAGCAGGGTCCTCCTGGGGTTCCCATGTACAAGATCAACAGCAGGAACCCAGCTTCAGGGCATCGCAGAGACGCATCAGACGGCAGATTTGGAAAGCTAACCATTTAAAAGAACATTTTTCTCTCCAACATATTTTACAGTAAAAGCAACTTTTAATTGTATAGATATATATTTCCCCCTATGGGGCCTGACTGCATCTATTTTTTTTTTTTTTTAAAGAGCAACTGCCACATGCGGGATTTCATTTCTGCTTTACTAGTGCAGTGATGTCACCAGGGTGTCGTGGACAGGGAAGCCCCTGCTGTCATGGCTCCACGTGGGGTAAGGGGGTTTGGGGGTGGGGCGGGGAGAGAGTGAACACCCACGCTGGTTCCTGTGCAGTGTTAGGAAGACCTATCAGGTTACTGCCTTGACTTCACTCCCAAGAGGTAGATGCAAACTGCCCTTCCGTGACAGCAACGGAAGCTCTTCTCAATGAGTTTGCAAAATCTTTGTCTTTTAACTCTAGTACTGTTTATAGTTCATGACTATGGACAACTCGGGCGCCACTTTTTTTTTTTTTCAGATTCCAGTGTGACATGAGGAATTAGATTGTGAAGATGAGCATATATTACTATCTTTAAGCATTTAAAAATACCGTTCACACTTTATTACCAAGCATCTTGGTCTCTCATTCAACAAGTACTGTATCTCATTTTAAACTCTTTGGGAAGAGGAAAAAAAAAAACGAAGTTGCTTTCTTTTTTTTCAACACTGTAACTACATTTCAGCTCTGCAGAATTGCTGAAGAGCAAGATATTGAAAGTTTCAATGTGGTTTAAAGGGATGAATGTGAATTATGAACTCGTGTGTGACAATAAATGACCAAGTACTACCTGACAGGAGGTACTTTTCACTTTGATGTCTGAGAAACAGTTACAGGCATATGCAGAATGGGCAGAGAAACTGAGGAAAGGGATGGAGAAGAGAATACTCATTTTTGTCCAGTGTTTTTCTTTTTAAGATGAACTTTTAAAGAACCTTGGAATTTGCACATCTTGAGTTTGTAATTTGTGTGATATTCCTGCAGTTTTTATCCAATAACATTGTGGGAAAGGTTTGGGGGACTGAACGAACATAAATAAATGTAGCAAAATTTCTTTCAAAAAAAAAAAAAAAAAAGGCATCTTAGTGGGCAACTAAGATGCCTTCCATGTCAGTCAAGCTTGTCCAACCCATGGCCATGGGCTACATGCAGCCCAGGACATAAACTTTCTTAAAACATTATGAAATTTTGTGTGTGTGTGAATTTTAAAAATCTCATCAGCTGTCATTAGTGTTAGTGTGTTTTATGTGGGTCCCAAACAATTCTTCCAGCATGGCCCAGGAAAGCCAAAAATATTGGACACCCCAACATAAAGCAGGAAGGAAAAAATGAAGATATATACATGCTTTTCTCGGGGAAGAAAGAGAGATACTGGAATGATAGACGAGTAGCTAGTGAAACTGATGATTCTCTCTGGAGATGGGAACAGGCTGAAGAGGAGGGTCGGAGTGAGACTTTCCTGAATAGATTTTTTTTTTATAGCTTTGACTTTTGAACCACAGAAGTAATTGCATATTTTAAAACTATAATTAAATCAAAAATAAAAGAAGCAAATTCTAAAACTGAAAACAAAATGAAACAAAAACAGCCTAGCTATCTCTCAGACTGACAGCAGAAGCACACCAAGAAAAGCCTGGTTTTGGGTGACTTTACAGCCTAGTGACCACACCTCCTTAGTGGGTTACACTCTAAGAGCAAAAAAGAAATGCAACTTCAATCAGATTTATTGTTATAGGCAATATTGGTATTATGAATTCAAAACTTTTATGTATACTGAGGGATAGAGTAGATAAGAATTACATTAATATTAAAAAACCCCAAATGTCTAGCTTAAGAGAAAAAGAGATATACAATATAAGGTCAAATAAATGAATTCTTTGATTTTTATTTAAAAATACCCATATGGACTCATTCTGAAAACACATTTCTTAGATCTGTCTACTGAAATGACCCAGGAGCACCACAAATCCCTAGCACCCACATCTTGATTTCTAAATATCATTCCCCATTAAAAAGAAACCAGGGCGGTATGGTGCAGTGGCTCATGCCTATAATTCCAGCACTTTGGGAGGCCGAGGTGGGTGGATCACCTGAGATCAGGAGTTCGAGACCAGCCTGACCAACATGGTGAAACTCCGTCTCAACGAAATACAAAAAATTAGCTGGGCATGGTGGCGTGCACCTGTAGTTCCAGCTACTTGGGAGGCTGAGGCAGGAGAATTGCTTGAACCCAGAAGGTGGAGGTTGCAGTGAGCCGAGATTGCACCATTGCACTCCAGTCTGGGCAACAAGAGGGAAACTCTGTCTCAAAGAAAAGGAAAGAAAGAAAGAAAGAAGAAAGAAGGAAAGAAAGAAAAGTTAATCAGGGCAGCTTGAAGAAATGAGTCCAGTGTGGGCCAGCTTGGGCAACAAGAGCTAAACTCTGTCTCAAAAAAAAAAAAAAAAAAAAAAAAAAAAAAGAAATCAGGGCAGCTTAGAGAAATGAGTCCAGTGTGGGGACAAGGACGCCCATGGGGAGCCCTGGACATTCCGTTGTGCTGGAGGCGAGACTGACTGGGTCACAGTGAGGACCTGAGCTAGCAGGAAGCGGCTCTCACACCAGCTTCAAAACAACCTGAGTGTCAGAAGCAATAGGGACTATAAACAATGTTAACGTGCGGGATGATACAGCTATGAGTCTATACACACAAACATATAAAAATCAAACACGCAGGCAGCTGACCCAGGACTTTCAGCAGCCTTTCGTCCTGCAGGCCGTTTGCTAGGATGGTGATACCGTTTGGATCTCCGTCCGCACCAAATCTCATGCCGCATTGTGGTCCCCAGTGTTGCCTGGCGGGAGGTGACTGGAACATGGGAGCAGTTTCTCATGAACGACCCAAACCATCCTCTCGGTCCTGCCCTCATCATGGTGCGTTCTTGTGAGATCTGCTGTTTCCCAGCGTGAGGCACCAACCCCCATCCTGCCCACCCTGCTCTCTTGCTTCAGAGTGGCTGTAAGCTGTGCCTACTCCCCCTTCACCTTCACCATGATTCTAAGTTTCCTGAAGCTTCCTCAGAGGCCGAGCAGATCTGCCATGCTTCCTGTACAGCCTACAGACCCGTGAGCCAATTAAGCCTCTTCTGTTTATAAATTACCCAGTGTCAGGTATTTCTTCACAGCAATGTGAGGATGGTCCAGTACAGCAGATGGACTCATCGCTGCACTAAGATGTGGTTATATTTATCACCGTGTTGTTTAAAACAGAGGAAAAACTGGACATAGCCTGAAGATCTAACGGAAGAGCGGTGGCCGCATAGAACACAATACCTCCATATAACTGGAACACAGCGCAGCCGGACTGCAGCGGGATCCATGCATGCTTGCTGACGATGAAGCGCGTTTACAACACTTTGCTGCTGAGTGAAAAAAGCAAGTTACAACAACAGCCTGTGGAGGAAACACCATGTTGTTTTAAAAATATGTATCCACATAGATAAAAATTATGCATAGGAAGTCCCTTATGATATATACCAAAAGGTGGAATTATGATTTTTCCCTGTTTTTGACTATCTGTGCTTTCTGCAATGAAAAGACAATAATTTCATGAAAACAGATATTAAAAGTTAAGCGTATAGGAGAGAGACGTTTGCTAGTTCTGTGGTGCGTGAGGGAAGGGAGTGGCACTGAGGCACCTCAATGAGAGTTTGAAACCACAGAACAGGTTTCTCTGGGAGAAGTGCGGTCTCACGCCTAAAAGGCACAGCAGGAAGACAGGACAGCAGTGCCACCCAGTGGACATCAATGGGCCCACTCGCGCTCACCCTTTCTGGCTTGGGGTCCCAGGAGAGAACAGGACTGATGGTGCATTTCCCCCAGGCTCTGTCTCATCCCAACACCTGGGGGCACAAGAGGCTGAAGCAGGTGTCCTTACCCGCTGAATGGTGCCCCCCAGGTGTCGACCACACCACCCCGGTAAAGTGCACGGCTGGATTCAGGAGCAAGAACTTGAGGCTGCTCTGGCTGAGGCTGCCTGGAAAAAGAGATCTGTGGGGAGAAGATGAGGGCAGGCCCAACAGACACGTCTACTGTCGCAGCAAAGGGGGTCCCCAGGTGGGTCCACGTCTGACGCAGAAGCACTAGCACTTTTTCTTTAAGTTAAATCCCCTTTAATCTCCAGAGCAACCATCTCTCTAAGTGGGCTGTACTATCTGCTCCCTTTTCACACGAGGAAACTGAGGTTGTCCAAGTCACGTGGCTCATGGGGGATGAAACCATGACCCAAACCAAAGCTCACCTGCCCCGAACGCAAGCTTCTCTGGGACGCTGGCCCGAGAGGATCCGCATCCCCGCCCCTCTGTCCTCTCCCGTCTACCTTCACTGCTTGTCACAGCAGGCCAGTGCCCACTGCACTGCTTCCTCCTAACCCAGGAAGGTGCAGAAGGAAAGAATCCCCTCATGCCGAGCTCCCTGGGTGAGAGCACCGCTCCGTACTGTTTTGCGAAGCCAAATAGCTGGGTGGGATGAGAGAGAGCAGTGGAGAGAAATGAGGAGCAGCCATGAGAGGGAGGCCGAGTGAACTAGAGGCTCTGCCTGGCCTGAGACGCCTGCAGCCCACAGCCCACCACCCCAACAAGGCCTGCTGCACCAGGGAGGGCGGGGATGAAGGGGACTCTGGAGTTCCCCAAGGACAGAGGGGGAATGCATGGGAGGGGCAGGGGGTGGGGTGCAGCTGGGTCCTGCTCAGGCCCACAAGACAGTGGAGCATCTCTCTGTTGACTGTGCTCTTCTCACAGTGCCGCTGAGCCTGCAAAACTCAGCCCAGCTGCAGGCTGGTGTGCAAACAAACAGAGTGAGCTGTTATCTAAATTTTTAAAGAGATTTCCACCTCCACCACCCAGGAACTGCGATCCACTCCCACCTTCCAAGGCGTCCTGAGCCCCTTGCTGCCAAGCTGTCATCCCTCTCCAATGCCACTCCTCTTCACTGCCCCTGCCCACATCACAGTGCCCTCCCAAGTCGGGGAGACGCTCTTCTCAAACATGTCTCTGTGGCTTTCAAGTCTCTCTAAGGTTGTTCGGGAAAATGTGTACTCCCTTGGCTTTCCTTCCAGGTGACAGCATCTAAACTGGGCCTTAAAAAAGTAAGAGTTTAAGAAAGGAACTCCTGTGAGCAAAGGCACAGAGTTGGTGAAGCCTGGGGCCTGCTCAGGGGCAGGTGCAGTGCTTCAGTTAATGGTACCAATGCATGTGGTTTGGTGACAGATCTTAGCTTGGGATGCAGACGTGAAAGGTTTGGAGCCTTTATAGGTTTCTAAAGTGAGTGACGGCCTTTGACAAAGATTCTCCCAATGGTGGGTGATGAGGCCCATGGGAAGGCGTGGGGAGAAGGAAAGCAAGGGGGTCAGAGGGAGGGCGAGGGAAGGAGCACCTGTGCCCACGTCCCAGTGGTGGGAGAAGGGTGGGAATGCAGGACTGTCTGAGGCTGTCACAGGTGTGTGGGACACAAGGGCAGAAAGGCATCAAAGATGACTGAGGAGGTGCTGAACAGACACTCTCATGCCTTTCCTAGCCCCTCTGGGTTTAGAGGTGAGGGATGGGACAAGTATAGAGCCAGGTTCAGAGCTGGGGCAAAGGGAGGACAAAGGGGCGGGACTGTTGGTGCAGCCATCAGGTTGTAATTAACAAGAGTGCTTTTCCATCTGGACGCCAGTGTCGTGAAATGAGGACTAAAGGTGACAAGGAACTGGATCTAGGGTGGTTCACTTCTAGAAGAGTCTCCTTTTCTCCACTGCCAGAAGCTAATAGCCTCCAAGCTGCTCCCTGACCTTTGGCCTTCCCCTTCCCCTCCTGGCCCAGGCTCAACCTTAAGCCTCATCCCCACCTCGCACCCCTGCAGGGCCTCAGCCCGCCCCCACTGCCCTCTATGCCTGCAGCAGCTGGAGCCTTCCTGGCTGCCCCCTCCCCATAGACCACCCAGCCTTGCACTCACACCTGCCATGGAAGCTGCTGAAGTGGGGTGCAGGCCCAGGGAGCAGGTCTGCAGAGC